CTCTCACTTCCAGGGCAAGTGCTCTCACGAGAAAAACAATTTATAAAAGCGAAGCAGTTCTTTTCCTTCTCTCCCCCTTAAACTTTCCAGCAGCTACAGCTGCTGTGCTTTGTGCTAAGCTCCACGCTGTCAATGTGCATTTAAGCATGATCTGAGCACACCTCCTGGACCAGGATTCTCAAGAGAGTTAGACACGTACCTATTTTGTGATTCCCAGATGGGTTAATGCAGCAGACAGTGGCTAAGAAAGTCAGCTTAACCTAGATAACACTGATTCTGGGTCCGTAGAGAAGCAAAGTTTTTACAGCCTAAGAAACTTCAGAACTCACGTGGTTCAGTGGGATTTCAGAGGGTGCATCTGGGACTCGCTGCACACATTTTGTTGAGTTGCATTTCCAGTATCCAAACCTGAGCGGAATGAGCCTTCCCAGAATGTAAAATATTTTGCTCTGTGCATTAGCTAAAAAGCACTGTGGATCCTGTCCTAACAACATTACTGAACCAACAACAGTAGCTTCAGTAAACCACTGAATCAGTGCTGCTTACTTAACATTACAGGGCTTTTCATCCCGTAGGTGAAGTGCTGTGAAGGAAGGCAGGATAATGGGTTCACCAACAGTTGCAGCGCAGACTTCACTCTTCTCCTATGTTCATGAAACATTATTACTACTGAGTATCAACAAATGCACAGAGTGTTCTACACCAAAGTATCTATCCTCATAATTATCCTAAGATTTAAACTGTAAGGCAGTTGGGGGTGGGTACCCGACCTGGAACAGGTATTAAAATCTTCACCCACCAATGCAGCTTCCAATCCTTCCTTTATCCAGTGAAACGGCACTAAGCATTTTGTGACCTTATTCACACAGGTCTGTACCTAAAAACCAAAGTCAGGCCAAACCGAGAGGCTGAGGGAGCTGAAGCAGCATGGCAGGTAACTAACAAAAGCACAAGCCCATCTTTAATGTTTGGTTTGTTCCTCAGTGCAGGTGAGGTGCTGTCAGTAACTTCAGGACCAGCTCCCCTCTCTGTTCCATCCTAAGGGGATCTTGCAGAGAATTGTGGAGGGGTGTAAAATTTGCAACATTTACTAATTTAAATACTAATTTAAAAGTATCACTAGGCAAGGCAGGGCAGATGGAGACCATCTTCTACAAAAGAAGGGAATTGTTTGATCCTCACTTTTAGCACAATCACAGAACTTACTGAGCCACCCAACTGGTTTGCTACAAGCATTCCTAGAGACACTTAACTAAAGCACAGACATTAAGTTAGTGGGAATTATCCCATAGTTGGAGATTAAAAAAAAAAAAAAAAAAAGTTGCTTTGGGGTAAATAGGCAAGAGTTAATAGTCAGATTTAACACACCTTCCACCAGTAACACTTACTATGCCAGAGAGGTGTTGCTTTCAGATGGATTTCATGGCAACATTCTTCCAGTAGCATCAGCTCTGCAATAGCCCTTTGCAGGTGGCAGTTTCCACAGAAATGTCTTGGGGGCACTGGTCCTGCTATAGAGATGAGAAACCCTACATGACAGAAGAAACATCAGAACTGAAGTGTCTGAACTTGGACTTCATGACCGCAAAACAACACTGTTCCTCTTCACAGGGTGGTGCTAGAAAATACAGTTTGAGTAAAAAGGCATTCCTGCAGAGCTGGGAGTGTGACCATAAAGGAATGAGCACGTCAAAGCTCAGTCAGAACAGAGATCCGTCCATCCGATAACCCAGTGTTGGTGGCCCAAAATACAGCTGTCAAGGAAGAAATGGCCAAACACGCATGTTTCACAACAATACCTTGCAAGCCTCCAAGCTTGGGAATACAACAGCAACAGATGAGGAATGTGCAGAAGTGGGGATGAAGGCAAACATTGCCATACAAAAGCAATGTTATTCAAAAGAATAGCAGGGGGAAGGAAAAGAGGTCTTGCCATCTGCAAAAAAGGCACAGAAGAGAATGGTGCTTGGAAAAGGGATGTAGCAAAGGTGTGACCACGTTCTGGGGGTTGCCCAGCCCTGCTGTAGCAAAGCGGGATTTGGGGAAGCAGGGGTACTACTGAGAGTTAGGGATGCAGGATCCACAAAAGGAGGCTCTGGGGGTGGGGGAACATACCCATGGATGAAGGAGCATTTCAGAAGCAAAGATGAAGGGGACAGCCGTCCTTGGGACATAGCAGGAGGTTCAGAATGGAAGAAATGAGCACCATCTGGCCAAACGAGGTGCCCTGAAGTGCCGGGCAGTGGTAATGGGGAGCAGGACACTGCCAGTGAGACCCCAGGGGCTCTGCTCTCCAGCAGAGCATCCAGGAGCACACTGGGAGCAGGGGGAGTCTCCACTGCTGCTTCCCAGGGCTGCCCACACGGACAAGGCCCCAGGTCTCTGGCAGCACTCAGACAAGACGGGCACGTGGCAGGGGCTGGGGGCCGCTTCCTTGCGCCAGGGCCGGGACAGGGCAGTGAGGAAGGCCTGCTGGCTGCGTGGAGCTGGAGAAGGGGAAAAGCAGAATTCAAAAAAATAATACTCCCTTCCCCCGAGGCAGCTGCAGAGCGCAATGAAACCCCCTTTTAGGCACAATCAGCCCTGAGCATCTGGGCAAGGATGAGGTGGGTGCAAAGTGCACGGGGAGGAAATGTGTCAGCTGCAGCATCTGAGAGCAGCGGAGCAAACTCAGACGGGAAATGAGCTTGCAAAGTGCACCCAACAAGATGATCGCGGGGATAAGTTGCTTCTATGGAAACTGCAGCCCGACGAACCAAAAAGCAGCGCGATGGCAAAGTTTTAGCAGGAGCCGGCTCACGCCTGGTTCCTGCTCCACTCTCCACCCTCTGAAGGAAAAAAAAAAAAAAAAAAGAGAGAGAGAGAGAAAAGAGCTGCACAATGTGTTTCTTGTTATGCACAAAAAAAAAAAAAAAAAAAAAAAAAAAGGGGACACAGGTTTTTTCCTGTATGGGCTACATCATATTAAGCTGTAAGTTTAGTTCTGGACAAACAATCTCTTGTTGCATCTCTGGGATGGAGGTTAATGAATTCCCACAGATGATGTTGGCCAAACAGTGGTCGGCTTGTGACTTGATTTCCAGCGTCGTGATGTGAGGGGATCAGTATAGAAAAGCACTTTGAAGGGAAGAGGCTGCCTACAGCAGGATTGTTTCTACAAGCTAATTGTGCTGAGTGCAGCTGCACAAAGCTGGATCAACAGTCAGAGAGGCGGCGCAGACTTCCTGACGCCAGCCCCGCAGAGCTCCCACCAACAGCCTGGCAATTCCAGATTGTTTTCCAGACCTTATCTCTCCCCCAAGTTTTTTTTTTTTTTTTTTTTTTTTTTTTTTTTTTTTTTTTTTTTTTTTTTTTTTTTTTTTTTTTTTTTTGTTCTCTTTCGCTTTTTTTTTTTTTTTTTTGTCTTTTAATTTTGTGACCGGAACAAAAGTAACAGGAAAGTCCTTTGTGAAAGTAGAAAACTCTGTTACAGACCGGTGCGTTTCGCAGAAGTTGTAACTAAATATTTTTTTCCCGTTCCGAAGGGGAAAAATATATATATATAAAAGCAACAAAAAATAGAAGCCCACCGAACTCCTCAAACTCCGTCCCCGGGCTGAATGCGGGACGCGATGCACGGACACACCGCGCTGGAACGGGCCAATTATCACAGATTGGTTTCTTTTTTTCTTTTTTTTTTTTTTTTGAAGTCAAGTTTGGTGGCTCACACACGAGGCAGTTACAGCACTGACGTTCTGACTCGAGGCTTTAGAGACGTGCGCTGCGCTGCGCTGCGGGCACGGCGCGCAGGAGCCGGCAGCGGGGGGTGATGGCAGAGCCCGATCTCCTCTGCGCAGTCAGGCGGTCCGTGCGCGCTTTTCCCCGTTTTAATCTTATTTATTATTATTATTTTTTTTTCCTCGGGACCCCCCACCCCCTCCTCCTCAGCCCCCTCTCCTGGCATGGCGGGGCGTCCGGCGGCCCCCGCTGCAGGTGCGCCCGGGAGGGGGAAGCGGGGCCGGGCCGCCGCCTGCCGCCGCCGCGGGCGCAGCCCCGGTCGCCATGGCAGCCGCCTGAGCGGCGCCGCCGGGCCCGGGCGGCGCGGGCGGGGGGGGCGGCGGCGAGGGGCTGATGTCACGGGGCTGGCGCCGCGCAGTCCGGGCCGGCCCCGGGCGCGGGGCGGTGGGGCGGGGCGGGGCGCGGCGCCCGGGGCGGGAAGGGGGAGCCCCGGGGGCCGGCCGAGCGACCCGGCGCCGGGGCCCCCCGCGGCCGGACGGCCGAGCGGCACCACCGGCGCGGAGCCCCGGCGAGCGGCGAAGTTCGCCACCGAGATGCGCGCGGCCGGGAACCGCGGCTCGGGGCCGCCCGGACGCCCCCGGGGAGCCGCGGCCGAGGGGCGGGCGGCGGTCGGAGCGCGCGCTGCGGTAGCGCACGGGGCGGGGGCCGCCGCCCGCAGCTCTGCCGCCCCGACGCACCCGGCGCGCGGCATCCCGCCGGTGCGCGGCGCCACGGGGCGGCGGCGGCCGCCGGGGCTCGCCGTTACCCGCCTCCGAACCGCCCTCCGACGGCACCCGGCCGCCGCTCAGCCCCGCACGGCCGCCTCCCCCCCTCTACCCCCGGCCCGGCAGCGCGTTCCCACGTGCGGAGCGCGGGCTCCCCGGGCTAAGCGGAGCCTCCACGCGGCACCGCGTAACGGGGGACGGGCTAAGCACGGAACGCCGCAGCGGACCGAAAGTCGAACGCCTCGCTGCCGGGAAACGCGCGGCTCCGCCTTTATTCGCGGCGCCGCCGCCGGGCCCCGCGCCGCCCTCGCGCCGTTCCCCGCCGCGCACTATTTACTCCCTCAGCTGAGCGGCGCCGCCCCGCCCCCCGCCGCCATTGGCCCGGCACGCGGAAGCCCGCGCGCCCCCTCCGCGCCAGTGAGCGCGGCCCGCGGCTGACGGACGGGCGGGCGGCGGCCAATGGCGGCGCGCACGGGCCGGGCGCGGCGGCGGCGGTTATAAAGCGGCCGCGCGGCCCCGCGCCTCAGTGCGAGCTCCGGCGGCGCCGAGAGTGGAACGGCAGGCAGCGCGCTCCGCAGGCTCCGTGCGCTCTCCCCGCGCTCCGCCTTTCAGCATGAAAGCTTTCAGCCCCGTGAGGTCCGTGCGGAAGAACGGCCTTTCGGAGCACAACCTGGGCATCTCCCGCAGCAAGACCCCGGTGGACGACCCCATGAGCCTGCTGTACAACATGAACGACTGCTACTCCAAGCTGAAGGAGCTGGTGCCCAGCATCCCGCAGAACAAGAAGGTCAGCAAGATGGAAATCCTGCAGCACGTCATCGACTACATCCTGGACCTGCAGATCGCGTTGGACTCGCACCCGTCCATCGTCAGCCTCCACCACCAGCGGCCGGGGCAGAACGCCGCCTCCCGGACCCCGCTGACCACGCTCAACACAGACATCAGCATCCTCTCCCTACAGGTAGGCACCGCTCCGGGACGCGGTCCCAGCCCTGCCCTGCCCTCCCCCGGCCGCCCTCACGCCGCCCGCTCTGTCCGCTCTCTCCCCGCAGGCAGCCGAGTTCCCTTCAGAACTAATGGCAAGTGACAGCAAAGCGCTCTGTGGCTGAATCGCACGGTGAGTACAGCCCGTCTCGTTTGTCTTGTGAAGTCGAGAGCGCTTCCACTTAAAGAGAGAGAAGGGGGGGGGAGCCGTATTTTAAGTTGATTGCCGCTCGCAGAAAGCAGTCCTAAAAGTTGGTGCGGCGATGCTTTGTCGATAGTAAAACAAGCGAGGCAGCCCGCAAGTGGTTCCAGCCCGGTGCGCCCCTGGCGCTGCCCGGCCCCCGCGGCTGCCAAGTGGGGAATCCTGGCAGCGTTCCTTCCCTCTGTGATGTGGGATTGTCTGCGCTATCGGCTCAATAAGAGACTGCTTTTAATCAAGTAATTGCTCCAAGAGGCAGACTGGCGCCTCTGAGCGTTGCGTTGCAGAGATCCGGCCAGAGATTGGGCTGAGAATCCTCCTCCTGTCCTTTCCCTGGAGTGTGTGTTATTTTAATGTTCAATTTGTGCTCTCGAGAGCGAGTGTGTGAGCGTGTATGTGTTGCATCTGGACGCCAGGGTTTGCCCAATCTCTGAGTGTTTGGTTAAATGTTCAAACTGCGGCTTCCTCCCTGGCGCCAGTCTGTCCGGATCTCTGCCCTGTTAGCGTGCTCCTAAATACGCCTCTTTTCAATCTCTTGCAGGTGTTCCACTGAGGAGGTTTTTCTTTCTTTCTTTTTTTTTTTTTTTTTTGCACAAGAATACGTCTACAGGATCTTTTTTTTTTCTTGAGGTGCTGAATTTTTCAGCTGTATCTGAAGGGGAGAAACCCACGCTAACTAAACTAAAAGGACCTTTAAAAGTGAATAAAGAAGAAAACAAATCAAGATTGATCTTTATCCCCCACCCCATTCTTCAAGTTGGACTGAACCTAGTTATTTATGAAGAGACTCTTAAATACCCTTTCCCTAGTTGGAAGGCTTCCTTTATATACTATTCCCAACATGGGGAGCGAAACAAAATCACACGCGGAGTTGCCCATTTTAAAGCAGACTTTGCCTTTTTTTCCAAAGGTGGAGCGTGAGTACCAGAAGGATCCGGTGTTCAGTTTTTTAGGAGAGTCTGGGGTCAGAAATTGCCTTTCTGACCCAAACCTAGGACTGAATGCTGTGTATATATTTATATATAAATATATATATATATGAGTGAACCCTTGTGAACTCTTTAATTAGAGTTTTCTTGTATAGTGGCAGAAATTGACGTTTCTGCAAAAAGTGTAATGATGTACTTAATCATGCTAAACTTTTTATAAAAGTTTAGTTGTAAACTTAACCCCTTTTTATACAAAATAAATCAAGTGTGTTTATTGAACTGATTGCTGGCTTTCTTCTTTGGGGACCAACTGCTTGCTGGCTCTGATTTGTGCTGTTTGTGGTTTTTGTTTTTTTTTCTCTTTTAAATACTTAAGCATTCTGTTACAATTTACTGAGCAAGTTCAAATGTGTAGAGAATATAAAGAATAAAATGACCTGAAGTGAATAATAATTCTTGTAACTTGGAAAGTCTTATTTGAGTGTATATTCCAAACTTTATGCCTGTAACCAGTGTGGAAGGAACCAGAGAAGTAATGGATGGCCGAGGGGATGCTACTGACCAAGTGTTGGGGAATGTACACAAAAGCAGTTAACCCTGAGCCGTGCCCATGGAGTGTGACTTCCCTCCCACTCCATGGCTGATTCTGATGTCCCAGATCTGTTGATTTGTGTTCAGAATAGTGGCTCCGAATTAGGGGTTGTGGGTGGTTATTATTCCTGCAACTGTTAAATTTCTCTCTGAAGGCTTTGAATGCGCGAGCTGGTGATGCGTTAACACGGGATCTAAAATGATGAAGTGACTGTTGCCTTTCCACACTGGAATTTGCATGCTTCCATGCAATATTTCAATGAAATGGGGTTTCTAATCAGTTGCAGCAGCAGCGCTGTATGACTAAGATACTGAGAATTGGGCTTAAATCACTGTTGTGTTACTGATTAAACTTTGGCTGCTCCTGAAGGAACTCTTTTCTCCATAAGAATTAAATTAAGTTTGAAATAGGAGTCGACGTTCTTGGAAGCCAGTAAGTGTCTCTTTCTCCCCTGCCTTCAGAAACTTGTGTGCAGTGTGCCCCGCTACCCAGTGCCACTTACTGTACCCCCCCGAATCCCCTGTAACGAGCGCTGCTCATCGGCTCCACCGAGCTGTCATCAGACGGTGGATGTGGGAACTGTGCCTTCCCAGGTGACGCGTTAATTCGAGCTGTTATAAACCCGCCTGAAATGGGAAGGAAGCCGTGAGTCCTGCGCACGCATTACAGAGATCCCTCGCTCTAGGAACGAGGGGAGCCTCGGCTACGCAGGGCAGCCCTGCGCCGGAGCCGGGGGAGCGGCCGTGCTGCGGTAACCTCACCTGGGCCCTCTCCAGCCGCCCGGGGCCGGCGGTGCTGCGGGAGGCAGCCGCTTTTCCTTGCCCTTGACACCAAATCCGTTCGCGCAGGCCGGGCGGGAGCCAGCGCTGATCTCTTAATGCGGGAGCTCGGGGTCAGCGCGAGCAGGAGGCGAGAAGGGCTCGGCGTGCCGGGCCGCGGGGCCGGGGCTGCGCCCGCAGCGCTGCGGGGCCGGGCAGCGCGGTGCCCCCTGCGGCCGAGCGGCGCTACTGCTGCGCTGCGGGCTGAGCCTGCCGGCGCCGCGCCGGGAGCGCCTGACCCCGAGCCAGCGGGGAAACGCTTCGTCGCTACCGCTCCGCGCGCCTCGCTCCCCAAAATAGCCCTGTCGGTGTACGCTTCGCCTAATTTGCACGAGCTGAGCGGGGGTTCTACTCGGTATTGCGAGCTCAGCCCTCACCCGCCAGTAACAATCCAACGCTCGCCACCCCATTTCTCCCCCAAAGCTCGTTTGTCACCCGACAAAGGGGGAGCCTTTAAGCATCACTTTTAAGGCACGGTGTGATATATGAAATTAAAGAGCTGCGCCACTCACATCAACCCCAGCAGGAACTGAGCTGTGTGCACCTCTGTGCTTCAAAGCTGCAGGACAATTCACACACCTGTAGACCGAAACAAACCATCGCGCACAGCCATACGGCAGTCACCACTGCTGAGGCACGGTGAAAAGAACAAAAACCAAAAATGTTTTTTTTAAAAAGTGAAGTATGAAATGAAATCTCACAGTTAACTAGTTCATCACCTCTGTGCTGCATCCCTCAGAGCAGAGCAAGGGGCTGTCACCAGCTGCTCTACGTATGAGATTCTCTGTGGTTTTGTTCTTAAGATTTTGGCGTTCAAAGAGGAACAGCAAAGCCAAAGAATGAGAATTAATGCTGAGACACTGATGTTGTTTCCTTGCAGATTTGGGCTCTCCATCCTCCAGCACTGCCAATGCGCTCCAGCTGAGAGCAGAAAGCTCTGTGAGACTGTCACTGCTCAGTGAAGCTGTCACTGCTTCCCCCAGTCCTGCACAGCCCTGTGAGGGACGGACCCACACACTGCCCTTGTCCTGCAGCCATCTCATTTACACACTGCCCCTTTTCTTGCATATACCTGGCGTGAAAATTGCAAACACACCTAAAGGCATAAACCTAAAGTCCCCATTTGGAAAGAAACACTGTGTCCAGTTCTGGGCTTCTCAGTTCAGTAAACACAGGGAACTGCTGGAGAGAGCCCAATGAAGGGGTGCAAAGATGGTGAGGGCCTGGAGCATCTCCTGGATGAGGAAAGGCTGAGGGACCTGGAGTTGTGCACCCTGGGGAAGAGAAGGCTGAGGGGTAGATAACTGCAGGACAAGGGGAAATGGTTTTAAGTTGAGGGAGGGAAGATTTAGGTTGGATGTCAGGGGGAAGTTCTTTACAGAGAAAATGGTGAGGTGCTGGAACAGGCTGCCCAGAGAGGCTGTGGATGTCCTATCCTTAGAGGTGTTCAAGGCCAGACTGGATGGGGCCCTGGGCAGCCTGGTCTGGTATTAAATGAGGA